AGGAAGAGGGGGCGATGGGTCGGTCGTGGTCACTTCTCTTTTCTGAAAGATCTTCGCCTTCGGGTCGGAAGTCCAGGATACCGGCGAAGCCTACACCCTGCCCTTTAGGGTTTCGGGCTTAAGGGTTTAAGGGTTTAGGGTTAAGGGTTTAGGGTTTAGCGTTTAGGGTTAAGGGTTAAGGGTTTAGGGGTTAGGAGAACAGAAATCATCAGGTCCAGTAAACTTTGAGGAGTTCGGCCCTCATCGGCATAGCGTTGAAGGCTTTGGATATGTTAGGATGGTGACCGGGCTTGGGGTGAACGACCTGTGCTCTTTTGCATCAGTCACTGCGTCTGCTCGCTCGGACGGTCCGGCGCGTGGCAAGAGAGCCTCGCGCACTGACTCCCCACCCCAGCACCGGGTCGGGGTGTAGGACTTCGCACCTAAGAGTTAGGGAGGATCCAGAATTACTAGTACCAGTAGTAATGGTTCTGTCGCATGTATGTGTGTATGTAGATCATACGTACGTAGGTAGGCACGTATGTATGTAGGTACGCATGTGTATATAGGTATGCAAGTATATTGCTTATACACGGGTTAAACGACACATGCATGCTTACACATACAGAAAATAAACACAATGCCTAGGTTGAAGTGTAAAGTTATTTCAACGAACACATATACACACAATACATAACATAACACTACATAAAATAACGTAACATAACATAACATAACATAACATAGCATAACATTACATTACATAACATAACATAACATAACATAACATAACATAACATAACATAACATGACATAACATAACATAACATAACACAGCATAACATTACATTACATTACATTACATTACATTACATAACATAACATAACATAACAGAACAGAACAGAACAGAACATAACATAACATAAAATAACATAACATAGCATAGCATAACATAACATAACATAACACAACATAACATAACACAGCATAACATAACATTACATTACATTACATTACATTACATTACATTACATTACATTACATTACATAACATTACATTACATTACATTACATTACATTACATTACATTGCATGACATAACATTACTTTACATTCATACATGGTTATGTAAAGTTATGTGCATATCATACATAGACACAGGTGATAGCTATTCACATCGAATCTCAATATTCTCAGCAGATGCTGCGGCAGCATTGCTGCCCCCTCAAACCCTAATCCCTAAGCCCTACGCCCTCATCACAACAAGGACCTGCCAAACTCCGCAGAGAGGCCCTTGACCGCCACAGGGGAGTCCGTTGACCCATCGAAACTCCGAGTTCTCATGGGGTCCGGGTTTCGGGTTTAGGGTTTCGGGTTTAGGGTTTCGAGTTTAGGGTTTCGGGTTTAGGATTTAGGGTTTCGGGCAACAGCAACTTACGAGTCACACAAGGAAGAGACACAAGCAACAAGACCAGTCACAGCCGTTTAGGGCCTAGGGTTCCTGGTCACCTAATGGCTGATTGATTGAACTGGCTGTTCTGCTTGTAAAGATGAAGGGTGTAACGGCGCAGCAATAGTTGTAGGAAGTTTGCATTCCCCCCTAAACCCTAAACCCTAAACCCTAAAACTTCGCAGGATCATGCCACTGAGTGACCAGGGTACAGCGAGCTCAGGTGCAGATTTGAACCCTAGTTGTCCGAGCTCTCGGGGTTTAGGGTTTAGGGTTAGTAGGGTTTAGGGTTTAGGGTTCAGGGTTGAGGGTTAGTTGGGTTTAGGGTTTAGGGGTTTAGGGGGTTAGGGTTTAGGCTTTAGGGCCAAACTTTAGGGTTAGTAGGGTTCTTGGTGTCTACCACAAACGGCCAGTACCATCCAGCGTATGTTGGACCTAAAACCCTGCTGTGTGGGTACTGGGACCATTTAACCCTAAACCCTAAACCACCCTAAACCTTAGACCTTTAAACCCCTAACCCCTAAAACCTTAAACCTCAAACCTTTAAACCCCTAACCCCTAAAACCTTAAACCTCAAACCTTTAAACCCCTAAACCCTAAAACCTTAAACCGGTCAACTCCCGACCCTCCAAACACAGAGTGCCGATAATCCAAAGCTTGAGCTAGAGATCCCGAGCCTTACGGGTCGGGCTTTCAGCGGAGAGATAGGTTTTATAGGGC